ACTACTACTAGTATTACTAGTACTAGTACGAGTACTGACGACGACGAAAACTACTACTGCTGTCACTACCACTACCACTACAACTACAACAACAACTACAACTACTACTACTACTACTACTACTACTACTACTGATTACTACTACTAATTACTACTACTAATTACTACTACTACTACTACTACTACTACTACTACTATACTGGTACTGGTACTGGTACTAGTACTAGTACTAGTACTAGTACTAGTACTAGTCCTACCAGTATGACCCGGCATGCTAAGCCGAACCCCGAATGTGAGAGCGCAAACCCTCAGCTCAACGCCACCAGGGCAGCACAGAAAGCTCAGAAAGTCGCATGGTTAGAGCAGGAATGTGCAGCAGCTGCAGGGGTAAACCAATGTGATGTCCAGAAATGTGAAGGCCACAGGCCCGTCCCTCAGCGCCCCGGGCAATGCACGGAACAGCTGATGCGCACGGCTGCGGATTCCTGCAGGCGATCTTTCGAATCAAGCCATTTTTCTTTCGGCAGATGGCTTTCAGTTTGGTTCAGCGATGACGCGGACGAACGCAGGCCTGCTTTCGACTCAGGCCGGAAGGCCTCTAGTGTCAAAGATGACGCCTGCTCGGAGTCTGTTGCTGATTCCAAAGGTCCGGAGGAGGAGGAGGAGGAGACGATTTGCTCTGCGTGTTCAGCTTGGAGAGTCTTATAAGTGCCAGGCTCTGCTGGTTTTCCCGAGATCCTGGTGCTCCTAAGTCCTAAGACGCTACGGCTTCGTCTTCCCTGCCTCTACCACGCGCGAAAAGCAGACGGATGCCGGCAAAGGTGAGTGTTCACTGGCATCTCTGCGTCCGCACAGCAGCGAAGATGTGGCGTAGAATTCGGCTCGATGCGTAGAAGGCTCGGAGGCGAGCTGCAGGGTAATATAGGGCCTAAATTATTGAAAAATACTATTTTGGGGGTTCCTTATTATTATAAGTAGAGTATCATGAGCCCCAAAACCCTATTCTAGTTCTTAAGGGCCCTCCATATTAGCCAGAACTCCTTGAGGCCGAAACCCTTAAGTCGGTTGCTTCTCTTGTGACGCTGACCCGCTTCTGCTTGGGAGGGTTTAGGGTTTAGGGTTTAGGGTTTAGGGTTTAGTAAGCCCTCCACTCCAATGCTGCGGCCTCAACCCGCAAACCCGAGGCAACAACCATCCCGAACCCTAGGGTTTAGGGTTTAATTAGGGTTTATAGGGTTTCGCGTAAGCCGGTGAACCATACAAAGCTCCTTGAATGCTGCAGGAACGACTGTGCAAAGGGGGTCGAGGACGCCAAGCTCCAGCGCTGGGGCGCTCCCTGGCAAGCGGCAGTTCAGGTTTAGGGTTGCGGGATGTTTCGGGGTTTCCGATTCAGGGTTTTTTCGGGGTTTAGGATGTTTTTGGGTCTGGGGTTTAGGGTTTCGGGGGTTTCGACTCCCACTCTTGCACAAGGCAGGCTATGGCTATGGAGGGGTTTTAGGTCCAGGATTTCGAGTATACGGACCTGTGGCAATACCTACCTGCGTAACTTTGCTAGCCAGCTCCTCAGGCCGGGACGCAACAAAAAAAGGGGTTTGGGGTATATTCGGGTTAGGAGTTTAGAGAGGGCGATGCGATTTTTCTGAGGTTGGTGACGATTCAAAGTCATGGCTCGTAGACTCGAAATCATACACGGTTGGTGACGACCGCCAACACTAACTACTGCTGCAGCTGCTGCAAAGCGTGGCTGTGCACATGCTCACGTCTTAAGTCTATACTATGTAGTTAACATGGCTGTGGCCGTGCCGGCGAAGACCCAGCCATACCCAACCAAGATCTCGCAACATGGCGTCCTTCAAAGTCTTTCCGACGTGAGCCTTTGCTGCTCGGCTCGGCAGTGAGTATATCCTGATTCCGGCAGCTTATCGCATGTTGCAGGGAGGTTCATGACCCATGAACTTAAAACACTGGAGGCTGACAATTGTAGGTCGAGAATAGACGAACTAGTTGGTTCGTATATTGACTAGAACTAGAGTTCGTACTATAATGCTAACGAGTCGGTGGCGCTGGCACTTGTAGCCGAACCGGGAATCACTGCATAAAGACTACCAGACTACCAGCTTGATTAATTACTAGACCAACTATGCGCAGTTGCGATATAAGTGCAATGTTTTGGAGCAAACATGGTTGCAAGAACAGGATGCACAAGACTGCCGATCTGCTTGGCAGTCTATACTTTGTAGAAGTCACAGAGGCCACGCAGTCGACGCAGTGTAGCATGTGGCTTCGAGGTCTTGAAGTAAAAGCAGGCTGCACAATAGAGGACTAGAGCTACATATGAACCACATGTCCCGGTAGCAGTGGTAGCAGGTGCAATGCTACGAGCAGGATAGTCAAGAGCAGAGTTGGCATCAGCAATAGCCTGAGCAGAAGTCTTAGCAGTAGCAGCACCAGCCGCAGAAGTTCGAGTAGGTGTTGTAGTAGTCGTAGTGGTAGTAGTCGTCGTCGTCGTCGTCGTCGTCGTCATGGTGGTGCTGGTGCTGGTGCTGGCGGTAGTAGTGGTAGTAGGAGTGGGAGTGGGAGGAGGAGCAGCAGTGCTTGGCAGTAGAAGAAGTGGTGCCACCAGACACGGTGTCAATCCCAGTACCAGTGTCACGAGCAGTAGCAGCAGTAGCAACAGTAGGAGTGGTAGTAGGGGAGTAACAGTCCGATAGCAGGAGCCCTAAGGCTTTTTGGGGGGTGGCTAAAACAGAAAATCTCGACTTGTAGTACGAATCGTCACCATTATCACCTGCACCTTCCTCAGGCCATCCCGCAGCTGCAATCTCATTGTCGTTCCCGTCCTTACGATGGGCTTCGCTGTGTCCATAGTCCTCGTTCCATGATCATCACCATACGTTTTCAGAAAGCCATCATGAATGTCGGATGCAGGGCTGGATGCCATGCTAGATATCCGTGGCCCCAAGCCATCAAACAGCGAAGCCTACAGCTGCAGGTATCGGGGCCCGCGGCTCAGTGCGCAAGTTTGCATCACGTGGGCTGGGAGCCGAAGGGGCCGATGAAAGGTCAGACAATCAATATATATATATATATATACATATATATATGTAGATATATATATATATATATGTATATACACACACATACCGGCTCCTACATGAATTCACCAAGGCTATTTTGTGATTTATTTATAATGCAATATAATGCGGCGGCCTTTTTTCTAACGCTCCCCCTAGAGGGCCTGATTAATATGCTACCCGTGACCCCCTCGATCTTGGTTCCGTAGATTGGGGGGTTGAGGTCGGCTTGTGGTCGGGGTTTAGGGGGGGTGGCTGTGACTAACCGATTTAGAAGGGAATTTGGGGGGGCGTCTGAGAGGTTTGAGGGTCTGGGTAGCTTTGACGAACTTTGGGAGGTCCGAAAATCCCATGTAGAACCTGAGCCTGGCCCTCGTATAAAGCCCTTTAGAAAGGTTCGGAAGGCTCAAGGTTGCTGTTTTCAGAGGCTCCAAAACCCCTTAATTAAGGAATATACCTTACATGATACGAGGATCCCTACTATGATTTAAGGAATATTCCTTAATTAAGGGGTTTTGGAGTCTCTAGATTTTTTCAGTCCCAAGACCGAAACCTTAGGGTAAAATCCCAGCTCGAGTCCGGAGCCGGAGACCTCCAAAACCCCTTCAGAAAGTACTTACACTGGGTTTAGGGTTTAGGGTTTAGGGTTTAGGGACTTACACAATCGGAGGTAAAGCCACTTCGACTGGGGGTTTCGGGTGTGTGGGGTTAGGATTTAGGCTTAGGGGGTTTTCGGGTTGAGGGAGAGCTCCGGGCTTCAATGCCAGGTTTTTAAGGTTTGGGTGGGGTTTTAGGCTTTAGTGTTCAGGGGCGTCGAGGGTTTAGGGTTACGGGGGATTTAGGGTTTAGGCTTGAGGCGGGTTCGGGTTTAGGGAGAGGTACGGGCTTCAGGAGGGTTTTAGGTTTTTGAGGCTCCAAGGAATAAGTATATGGGTGCTTAAGATTGCATCAGCAGCACAGAAGCAACAACACAACAATCCTCCGGCCCAGAACAAACGCATTAAAGGTACCGCTGCAAATTTTTGGTAGCGGCTTGAAGAAGCTTGGCCGAAAACGCATTATAGAGGCCCGCTCGTCTAAAGGGACCGTCACATGACCCCCAAAGCCCTATCCCTTTCAGATGCTGGGCCTCTGGAAACTTGAAAATTCGGTTCTCGGAACAAAGCGAGGGTGCTCGGAAGTTCGCTTTGTGTTGTTGATGCACTGTACCGATCAGGTACACATGCCAGGCCTGTTTCGATAAATGGCAACAGCCGTGGATCAGTTGGAGTTGTCTGCTAGCCATGCACATTGACCCCAAATTCGTGACATCTCGCACATTGATTTGCTTCCTTAATTGCCAGCCGAATTACAGCGCATGGTGGCTTCCTGGAGTAAGTGGCAGTGCAACGACAGAGCGTGCAAGGGCATTGGTAACATGACAAACTTGGTGCCATGGCAAACCATGCACCCCGTATATCCCTGCATGCCATGGCACCTAGGGGCTGAGTAGGTAACCTTTAACCTGTTGGGGCTTCTATAATCCTACTATAATTCAAAAGGTTAACCTTTTTTGGGCTAGGGTACTCAGCCCCTAAGGACAAGTAAGCGCAAGCCCCGCAGTTCTCCTCCACTAGAGCTTGCTGAAGCAGAATCCTAACAGTTGCCCGAAGGTCAGAGTTTCTGAGACTCTTGATTGCAAGTTAGCTTCCCCTAACCCCCCAGGTACCTACTATATAGGGTACTAGAGCCCCTAGGGCCCTATATAGTAGGCACCTGGGGGGTTAGGGTTCATCTTGTCCTACTGGGGAACACATCATTGGGCCGTCTGGTCACTCGGGGGTATCGGATTGCGGCCTTTCTGGTTTCAGGAGTTGAAGCCCAGAATGCGTCAGCGTAGTCTCAATCGCCATGTTCTTCGCTCTTGCATCAATCAGCTCCCTGCTCCACTGCCACCATTGTGGTTGTCACATTATTTCACATGCGATGGTCCTTCGGGGAATCTGCCCACGGTTTTCTCACGCAAGTGGTAATTGGTGAGTCGCACATATTATTCAATACCTTATCTTCGTCCGTTCTACATTCCTGCTGGGTGCGATTGCGCCACGGAGGCCGACCGTGAGACGTAAGACAAAAACTTTGCACCAAAGCCCAACACATTTCCCTAAACCCTCACGCCCACCAGCACATATGATGGAGCCTCGCCTGGATTGTCCGAGTGAGAGCGTAAGCCCTCAGCCTGACTTCCGAAGGGAAGACAGGCCATTTGTTTTAGACTTAGTGGCTGAGTAGGTAACCTTTAATCTTTTGGGGTTTATATAATCCTACCATAATTGAAGAGGTTAACCTTTTTTGGGCTAGGGTACTCAGCCCCTAAGTAGATGCTCATCCCGAAGTCTGGCACTTCTCCAAGTCGCCGTCTCCACGCCTATTAGCCGTATGCAGGAACAAGAGACTCCCGTTTTCAGAAGCAGTATAGGGTCCTTATATGATTAAAAATATAGGTATAACATATATGTATATATGTGTCAATGCCACCGCCCCGGGTTCTGCGTCATCCACTGTCAGGTACCTGTACGTCTAAGTACAACGTGGCAGTCGCAGTCGCACTTCTACGTTACGAAGCTGAAATTTTGCAACAAGACTATTCGTAACACTTATGATGAATCATATGACTACTATTTGTTGTTGATTGATACTATTGGTATCATTGCCATTGCTATCACTTTTCATGTTTACAATTGATGATTACCAGCAGTCCCTTTTGAGGGCTTATGCTCAAGGTGTCGCGGTGTCTTGAAGTGTTTGGCGCGTCCAGATCTAAGGGCAGGGGCTCAAGACCTTGCGGTTCAGTCTTGTCCAGAAGAGGCGTTCGATGAGCCTCGACTGGAGAAGGAGGCTTTGGGGTTAAGATCGGTGCTTGAATCATTTCGTCGATTACTTTTTATAGTCGTCGCATAAGATACTCCGAAAGCCCGATATTCATTTTGTTAGTACGCCCCGCATATTACGTCGTGTGGCATTTTGGCCCAGGCGATTGCGATTTTTGCATCCTTTGGCGTTCCGTCGTTTAGTGGTTGGATGGGTAGAGCGCCGCGCCGGAAGCTCGACGACTGGCAGTTCGGAATCCCGCTGCTCTCCCTATAGGTCTGAAGCATAGAACAAACAAAATATTGGCACGGGGTTTAGTGGGGGGCCTCCCCCAACCGTTTCCCGCGGCCGAAGGCCAGAATAGTGTGATCCCCTTGTGCTTCCCAGACATCCCCTCCCCGCACAGTGGTCCAAAGAAGCAAAATAGCTTAGCTAGAAAGGTTTAGGATTTAGGAGGGTCTGGTGGGTTTCGGGCTTGGGGTTGAACTGGAAGGGTTTGCAAGGGTATGCTGGGTTTCGGGGGGCTTGGCTTCGATTGGGGTCTCTAAAGGGCTTAGCAAGCTTCTGGGGGGTTTAGGGTTCATAGAAGAAAAGCTCTTTATAGGTTTTAAGCTCCCGGAGGTGCCTTGCAATCAAGCCTCAAGCCTCTTCTCCTGACTCTCTTCTGACTCGACACAATTTAGATTGGCCATTAGCAGGAAGGACTGAGCGGGCCAAAACAGCACACATGATTGGGTGTAGTCCTGAAAATGCAAAGAAACAGTGAATAAGCCTCGAAAAAACGCATCATATAGACGCACGCTTAACAAAACCCAGTCTGCCACATTACTCTCAGGACTTCAGGTGGCATTTCCTGAAAGGCAACTTCCTGAGGCATGTCGCTACAGGCATGTGTGATGCTTGGCAGCACAGAACTTCGCTTCAGCAGAACGCCTCGAATGCTTGTGAGCATCGACCAACCCAGAGAGCCCAATACCCCGCCATTTAGGGTTTAGGGTTTAGGGTTTAGAGTTTAGAGTTTAGGGTTTAGGGTTTAGGGTTTAGGGTTTAGGGTTTAGCAGCTCCCCAGAGAGCCCTTTAGGAGCAGACCCTAGAATCTAACCTCCCTAGACCCCGCTCACCGTATAAACCTGTAAACGCTTAAACTTAGGAACCCCAAAAGGACATAAGCATAAGCATTTTATGGGGATATCCCTACCTTCTTGGGCTTCATTATAAGGGGGTTTATATGGGATATCCCTATCCTATGTTTTGCTTATGTGCTTTTTTGGGGCCCTATAAACCCCTAACTCCCTAAAACCTAAACCTTAATGCTCGTCCTTGCTAAGTGGGAGGGGAAAGAAAACCATTTAAGGTCTAATGTAGGGGTCTAAATATTTACTAAAAATATTTTGGGGGTTCCTCATTATAACTACAATTATAAGATAATATACGCCCCAAAAAAAACTCTAAGACTCCATTTTGATTATCAAGGCCCCTATATTAATTAGTCCCCAACTGAGGGATGATGGGCTCTCCGCGTCTGAGTTGTGCTGAGGCGGATGTGGTCGGCTCTCCTGGAACAGATGCCCGGAAAGCCTAACCATGGGCCCCATAGTAGTTCCTTTTTGGGATGACCCGATAGGAGTCTATATATATATATATATGAGCCCCCAAAAGGAGCTACCTTAGGGCCTATGGGTAACGCCCTCGCTTGCTAAGGCGTAGGGTTCCTCTGAACGTTGTCATATTGGTGCCTTACTTATCAATGTGTTATAGAACCTGAAAGATTCTTCGCGCGGAAACCCTGAATCCTTAAGCACCCCTATGAAGGTACTGAGCCCTATAAACCCGAAATCCTGAAACCTCAACCCCAGCCCGAAGCCTTGGTCTCTGAGCCTGGCCGCTGCATGTTTGGGGGCTCGAGGGTCAGGCTTACGCCTCAGCCAGCACCCACCAAGCACCCTTTTTTTAGAGCCCTTATGGTCCTTAATAGTGGGTATTTATAGTATAATACAGGGTAGTTGGGGGGTGCTGGCGGCTTCAGGATTTCGTATTTAGGGCTTACATGTGTTGTTGTTTAGCCACCTTAGGGGCTTTGGCCGATTCGGGCCTGTATAGGTTCCAGACCAGACTGAGCCACCTCGTTTTTGGATGACAGGAATGGGCCTTCTGAACGAAGACATGGCGGACGGCCGAGATGCCCGAAGCCGGTTGATGCAGTTTCTAGAGGATCGAACTTCCGGTTCCAGCCAAGGACAGGTATGCCGGGATCGAGCTTGCACCATGTGACAATCAGGCCATACCCGCCTCCGCACCAGGGAGGTTGGTATTGAATGATGTTTGCATGCTGTTGTTGCGCTGTGCTGTCGCAAGTATCTTGTGTTGCTTTTGGTCAGTGTCGGTGTGTATACGTTCCGCTCTCTGGCACTATGTGCTCGCATTGTCGCCTGTCGTTGCCGCTGCCGATGTGTCGTGATTGTTCTTGTGGCTGTTGTTGTAGTGCGTGTCATTGTTATTCGTTGCCGTGGTTCAGGTTGTTGTGGTGGTCGGGGCCGCCGTGGTCTGCGTGGTGGTTTATTGTTGGTGGTTGTGGTGGTGCCTGCCGCCGCCGCTGCCGCCACTGTGCTCCTGCTGGTATTGCGCCTGCCGTCGTCGTCGCGTTGGGGTGTGTTGCTGCTGTCGTGATTGCAATTGGTGGTAGTTGGTGGCTGGTGGTGGTGGCGGGGGGTGGCGGCGGCGGTGCAGAAGGGCTGTTACATGCGAGACGTGAACAAGCATGTGCAAGCTCACGGGATCCCGACCCTGTGGCAAGACTGTCGCATTCAGCGTTTCATCCCCGTCTCTTCCTTGACCTCGCGAGGCACTGGAAACACCTGACATTTGGAGCTTCTCTCGCGAAGGCGGCCGCAACTGGAGATGGCCCGACCACTCGCCCTCCGAATCCATGCAACAAATCTCTGCTTGTATACTTACATGGCTTTCATGTTGATATTCTGTTGCACGTTCGAGCAACACAACGCCTCAGATCCTGTGGCGGAGTACATCCCGCCTAATGCAGGGGTCTCTGTGTTACCTGCCATACTCACCCATAGGCCCTAAAGTAGTTCCTTTTCGGGGCTCATATATAGAATCCTACAAGGTAGTCCCAAAAAGGAACTACGATGGGGCCTATGGGTACCCTAAACCCTATACCCTAAACCCTAAACCCCCAACCCTAAACCCCCAGCTTCTGGGGCCAGGCTTCCTACTGAACCAGGGCAGCGACTGGCTCTCGGCCAACAAGTGCATCAGCGCCTCGGCCTTTCAGGGGTTTAGGGTTTAGGGTTTAGGGTTTAGGGGGAGTCCGATGAGGATGAAGAGGGTGGTGGCAAGCGAGATTTGTCAGAGTTCAAACTTACCCTAAAATCCCCAGGTACCTACTATATAGGGCCCAAGGGGCTCCAGTACCCTACATAGTAGGTAACTGGGGGTTTAGGGTTAGGCTGTCCGGCATTTCCCTTCCAGTTTCGTTCATCTTGGGCTTGGATTCAACTGAAATTCCATTGAGCTGATGCCTCGTCCTTCTGCCGTACACGACGAAGCTCTCTGACGATGGCTGTTGCACTTCAGCCTTCCTGTCAGGACACCTTAAAAGCGCACGACTTGCTTGGTTTTAAAACGGGGTGTGCAGTATTGCAGCTTCAGTGGGTTCTAGCTTGTTGACGATCCAACAGCTGCTGCCGCAACACCTGAACTGAGCTGGCTTCGGTTGTCGATTGTCCTTTGCACTGTATTAGTTTTGAAGGCGCCCATCCTCATGGTGATGATCCAAGCGAAGTCAGCTCGCGGCTTACTGCTCATGTCTTCCTAGCTCATCTTTTCTTGCCCTGTAAGTGTGTTTGCCTTCGGGCGTCTTTAGAGAAATATTGTCGCGGAGTCAGTGAGTCAGTGAGTGACGAGGCCAATATATCTGCCAGAGCATGCCCTCGGCAACACGCAAAACACCCCACAGTGCGATAGGAAGGCGGGTTTTTTCTATGCAGAAGATAGAACCCCAAACCTCCCCTGAGGCGTAAAGCCTGAACCCTACATCCATTGTACTTCCTTTTTTGGGGTTACCTTATAGGATCCTTAGTCTAAAATTGGTTAAACCAAAAAAAGGAACTACAATGGAGACTGTAGGTACACCGTGTCACGTGTGGGGGAAGCTTCTCAGTTGTCTTCCTCCCATCTCGTGTTACTCTGGCTGGCGACGCGAGGGCCAAGAATCGTAAATCCCAACCGCTACCCTCCACCCTAAGCCGCATAAGCCCTAAACTGGCCCTAAACCCTAACCCTTGACCCTTAAGCCTTCAGCCCTGAACCACTCAAAGAGGTGAGCCAGGTACCTCATGAACGCGGAAACGAGCCTGCCAGAAACCAACCGTAAACAAAAACCACATGTTGACCATGAAGGTACCCATGTCAATTTTGTTTCAGCATAGCTCCCTGTGGAGCTCCGCTTCCACTGGAAGCCTAGATACCCCAAAGGGTTAAGTGCCAATTTTTGGGTGCCGAAACTCAAAGCTTTAGAATTCATGACATATAACATATTGCCCTTTAGGATACGTAAACCCCCAAAATCCCACAGCTAGGCCTCGACGTCTGCGATTTCGGCACGGATCAACTCTGGGAAATCTCGGACGGCAGGATCCGCAACACGCTGGGCAGATTCTTGGCCCTGATCAGGGCTTGGGGTTGATAAGATAGCTTCTACAAGTCAGCTTTATTGAGTCATGGTGTATCTCTACAAGAACCGGAGGCTAGGATTCTGGATCGGATGGCGGAGGGGGACTAAGATCATCTGTTAAGCGCGTGCCAGTGTAAAAATGCCTGGCAGTTCCTCTTACTGCACATGTCTCATTTCGTTTGTTCGGAAAGGCAGTACCGGGAAAAGAGCGACCAGACAGTATGCAAGGACGTCAGAAGTAAACCTGTTAGCAGGGGGTTGTACATAGTACGTAGCAGATTTGATGGCGGGACAGAGCGACACCTCGAAGCCTTTGCTTTGATGAGGCCGGAAGTGCATCACCCTGAGCGAGTCCTTCCAGCCGCAGCTTCAAATCTGAACCTCGAGCAAAATAACTCTTTGGATTGTTTGTGGCTCCTGAACAACATCCGTCTCTTCAACCCAAGTCCTTACTACAGAGGTCTGAATACTTGAGGAAGGTGGTCCTTCGGCTTCCGCAATATCGCTATAATTAGTGCAAAATTTCCCCCAAACCTTTTATACTATATAATAGCAGGTACCAGGTCCCTGTTCTAAGCCGCATGCGAGTCCTTCAGGAAAGCCAAAGAGAGCATGGAGATTCGACCATTCTAAAACCGGGGACGAAAGGCACATGAGAAACGTTTCGTGTGATGCCACGCGTTTAGATATGTGTCTACTTGCAATTGCGTTCGTATCAGTGTTTGTACCATGCCAATGCGTTTTGGATTTTCTTCACATTCTGCTAGACGCCCTTGTCTGTATGACTTCGCTACAAAGTCTCGCTTTCTTATTTGGCTGTCTGAACTCTGAAGCTGCAAACTTGCAAAGATGCCGTCCGGGCAGACCAGACCAGGTGAGTTCAGATTCGTTGAGTGCTGCGCGATGTTGTGTGGACCGTGAGGTCGTAATGCTTCCGAGACACAGTATTGGAAGCAACTTGATGGCGTTCTTCTGCAGAATCGCAAAGCAGGCCTCGAGGGTTTATTCACACGACTTGCAAGTCTCGCGCACGAACGGTCAACACGAATTGAAGTAGGCGTCCAGAGATGACGGAATACATCACGCTGGGGACACCCCAGGACTGTACAGTAGTGGCTATATAGTGACTCGAAAACTCCATCAACCGTCCGCAAGTGCCTTGCCGCTTTGCTTTGCGGTTGTTTGTTGTACCGACAATGCTGCGTCAAGCTCCAAGCCTGTAGCATTGCTTCTGCCCAACTGTCTCCCCAAAAAATTATCAATAGCTGCTAATGTCACGGCGTCGCTTTCACAAGACTATAGGACCATGCCGACCATGAGGAGGAGGCATACAACGACGACCAACACGACGACTACGACTATACTACGACAGAGACGACAACGACTATTGCAACTGCTTCCTGCCGTCCATGACCTTCCTGAGAGAGGGCGAGTCAGAGAGGGATAGAGAGATAATTTGTCTGCCGCCGCTTTGCCAAACCATGCAGACGAGCCAACTTCGGCATTCATGACGGCAGTCAGTCAAACGAGGTCAGTTTGTTTGTCAGTATTATACGTCAACAGAGCACCCGCAGATTCGTGTCTTCCCCTGAGCCGCTAGGCAGCTGCCTGGCCACCGTGTCCACGGGCTCCGAGCTGGAGCTGAAAGCCTGCTCACTGGGTGACCCCCACCAGCTCTGGGAAAGAATCCCAAGCGCTCGGAGAGAAAGTCGCGACTCCCCCTAAGCCGAAGCCTCACGTAGTGGGACCCATCTCGATCCAGCAGGGAGAGGGAGAACCCTTAAGCCAAAGGAAAACCTGAAGCCTACACACCCAAGCGCTGAGTCGACTTGTAATGGGCTTCGGGAAGTCTTGGGGCGCAACCCCTGGCTTCTTCGGCGTGTGTC